TACAGGTGAGCGACCTTAGGGCCATCATGGCCCTCTTGTTTCAGTAATTCTTGTCTGCCAAAAATGGTGGATGGCGAGTTTGAGCTCTGCTTTGCAACCATAACCTTCATATGGAAAAATTGGTTATTCTTAACTGAGTTTTTTTTTTTACTTGGGCCAAACTGAAGTTCAGCGTCCTGTATGGAATATTTTATTTTGCCTGTTGTATATTTGTAACTGGTAGGAACATAATTATGTGATTTTTGTACCTAAACTTATAGCTTACCTAGTAATTTAGCTTTTATGGCTACAATACAGGGTAATATATCCCACTATCAATTTATGCACATAATCCTCGGCTTCTGACATTAAGATCCCACCTTAATTTACCATTTTAATTAATTTTTAGCTCGACTATTCGATAAGAATAAGTAGAGCTATTGCAGTCACCCGAGCGTCGGCGTCGGCGTAACCACTTATGTTAAAGTTTTTGTAATAGTTCAAATATTTTCAAAGTCCATTGACATATGGCTTTGAAACTTTGCACACTTGTTCACCATCATGACCCCAACCTGTAGACAGGAGGAGGTAACTCTATCAAGCATTTTGACAGAATTATGCCCCTTTTTCGACTTAGAATTTACGTTAAAGTTTTTGTAATAGTTCAAATATTTTCAAAGTCCATTGACATATGGCTTTGAAACTTTGCACACTTGTTCAGCATCATGACCACAACCTGTAGACAGGAGGAGGTAACTCTATCAAGCATTTTGACAGAATTATGCTCCTTTTTCGACTTAGAATTTACGTTAAAGTTTTTGTATTAGTTCAAATATTTTCAAAGTCCATTGACATATGGCTTTGAAACTTTGCACACTTGTTCACCATCATGACCCCAACCTGTAGACAGGAGGAGGTAACTCTATCAAGCATTTTGACAGAATTATGCCCCTTTTTCGACTTAGAATTTACGTTAAAGTTTTTGTAATAGTTCAAATATTTTCAAAGTCCATTGACATATGGCTTTGAAACTTTGCACACTTGTTCACCATCATGACCCCAACCTGTAGACAGGAGGAGGTAACTCTATCAAGCATTTTGACAGAATTATGCCCCTTTTTCGACTTAGCATTTACGTTAAAGTTTTTGTAATAGTTCAAATATTTTCAAAGTCCATAGACATATGGCTTTGAAACTTTGCACAATTGTTCACCATCATGACCCCCAACCTGTAGACAGGAGGAGGTAACTCTATTTAAGCATTTTGACAGAATTATGCCCCTTTTTCGACTTAGAATTTACGTTAAAGTTTTTGTAATAGTTCAAATATTTTCAAAGTCCATTGATATATGGCTTTGAAACTTTGCACACTTGTTCACCATCATGACCCCAACCTGTAAACAGGAGGAGGTAACTGTATCAGGCCTTTTTTTTACTATCAAGCACGAAGAATAGTCGAGCGTTGCTGTCCTACCGACAGCTCTTGTGCTACATGTACTTCTTCCCAGTGCCCTTTGATGCTTTATATCAATGCTTATCTTGTATTCCGATAAATGCTGTAAAACTGTTGAAAATGGGGACAATATGTTTAACCTCCATTTATAACCTAGCAGATGGATTCTAGGATAATAACCAAGGAGATGCTGAATCATGCTCTGAGCTGTCTGAAAATTTTGTTATATTCAAAATTCTGTCATGTTTAAACATGTTTGCTTTCCTATAAAAAAATTTGTAAACAAAACAACTGAAACTATTCTTATTATCAATGTTTTCACAGAAAGTAAAATCCTGTTGTAAGATGTAATTTAAAAAATGCTTATTTGTTAAAAAATATCGACTTTGAATTTATCATGTTCAGCCATGTTTGATCATGTATGACTATGTTATTCTCTTAGTAATAAATGGGTCAATGTGTCAGTAATTATTAAAGCGTTTAAGGCTATTTATACACAAAGTTGAAATGTATGGATACTTTTTTATCCAAAAGAATAACTTATTTGATGAAAGTAACAAGAAAAAAGAGAGATTTGTTTGATTTTTTTTTTATAAATTTATCATGTTTATTCATGATTGAATATGTTGATTTCTTGTAAGATTGTTTGCAGAAAAAAAAACAATCTTTATGATTTTTACCTCTCCCTGAAAGTCATTATAATATTAGTTGAAATAAATACAGATGTTTTATTGAACAAATTGTAATTTTTTATCCACAATCATGTTTGATGGTCAAACATGTTTATAAGACATGATTGACCAACATGGTTAATGAGGAAAAAAACATGTTTGTACACATCTTATCATGTTTAATCATATAACATGATTTCTTTTTCGCTAGGGTCTGTTTGTTTAATGAATATTTAACCATTATTTTTTGGTTGTTTGATTATCAAAAAAGACCAGTTTTAAGACCAGAATATGTATTTACCATATCCATGTATATTGTAGTTGTTTTGTGTCACATGTGTGCAGATAAATTTCAAAGTATAGTTATAATGAGCTAGTGCAGAATCTCGCATGATAAGCTTAATGCTTATATGTATTTGTGTAGAATATTTTTTTATGCTAGAACAAATTCATTGCTCTTGACAATTCTTATGATGGAACACAGTACATGTAGTTGCCGGTCCATCATTTTGTCAAATTAACAAATGATCTTTGATATTTGGTGTGTTGGTCCATGAACCTCTATCCTAAATGGATGGGGGCTTTAGATTCATGAAGTTAAAGTCAAGGTCACAAAAGCTAAAATAGAGTTTCTTACTTTTAATCATTAATGACATCTGGAAGTATCCATTGTTGCTATTGATACAAGCAATATGTAGAAGCTAGATGTAAATTTTCATGACCAATAGTATAAAAGATGTACAGTATGGACTCATTGTTATGTATGTACTAAGACTAGTCACAGTATTTAATAACATTCACTCACTGTTCATCAATAGGTTCTGTAAAATATTTGGCTTTCCTCAAGATTTACTCATTGCTCTTACAAAACCTGGACAATAGCAAAAGCACAGACTTTTGCAGGATTTACTGATTAAACTGTAATAAATGTAATACTTGAAATCACTGACAAGAGTGCCTTATACTGCTAGCTACTGCAGAATTTTCAGATTTACAGAAAGCTGGATTATTTCCATAAAATGATTAAGCCCTTACAAAGCTTTATTAGTACCATATGCATGCATTTGCTTTACTATGAATTTGAAACCGTTGAAAACATTTTATTGGCAATACACTTGTTACTATAAATAGTAATACAAACGGCCAGATTTCAACTGATTATAAGTGTCACATGACACTTGCTGAAAAGTCATCACCGAATGTGAGCAATAAATATTTACATACCGTATGACATCACATTTTATGTCATCGAAACAAACAAGCTGTAAGATGAAAGTAGGGTTTTTGTACTGATTGACTGTAAGTGCAAGTTAAAAAAAACGATTTCAGACACTTTTATTGAAATGCAAAAAACTAAAAAAGAAATGAAAGAACACAATGGTGGTCTACTGCAATACAGAGGGGAAAAAAACTTGCAGCAAATTTTACTTCTACTTACTAATCTTTGTATGAATAAAGGAAATTAACTCTTGTGTCTAAACTTTAAGATTGGCTCTTCTCTAGAACCAGGATTTTCACCAAAAGAAATATTAAATTAATTTAAAACAAAAGATGTATCAACATGTGTATTAGTAACATTAATGAATACAAATTTTCATCTCTTATTCTAGTTAATACAGAAAGTTTGATTTTTCAAAATCTGTATGGAGACTATTAATAAGTGGATAAGTCTAATGTTTACATAACCTGTTGATGGACAAATAGAAATCCTGAAATTGTACAGTTTATACTTACATATATAGACACACACATAGCAAGAACCATTTGGCACCATACCTATTTTGCCCCAAATTTTTAAGAACAAAAACCAGTCTGCACACTTTCTGTATAGATTTGGAACACTGCAAGTCACAGTCTACAGGTGGAACTTACCCGGTACTTTTAACATCATTATAGTGACATATTTAGATTTGCCTAATGTTTTGTGTTACAGAAAATATGTATTTTGTGTTTATTTATAATTTAGTTATTGTGAATTGTGAGATTTTTTTCAATGACTTGTTAAATGTATTTATCATAGATATATAATATATGTAAAGTAGAGCTGTCAAGTTTAATTTGTGTTTTTTATGTTTGCCAGCTTTTATAGAATTCATTCTCACAGATATGACTTGTGTTGCTTATTGTGCAATGTTTAAATTTTGCTATACATTGTATAATTAATATGTAAATTAGATGTTTTATAACTATGTCATCATTTGAAGCTTTCTATAATCAAGACTTTAATTGAACAGTAATTTATTGCATTACAATTTTATTTTAACAGCTTAAAAGAAAATTTTGCAACTACATGTACATGTACATGTAATGCTTTACCATAAAAATGTTGGAATTTTGTTGCTGTTGTATGTTATTGCATACATTGTTGTAAAATTACCATGTTGAAATACTACTGTATTAAATGGTTTTTTACGTATTACACATTGTAGCATTAAAAAATGGAGTAAACAAGTTAAGTGGTAATTCTGCATGCATATTTTAGCAAGAAGTAGAAGTTCTTATACATGTAGCTAGCTAAATTGTCTCCCTTTGAATGTGTTGGAACTTGACAAAAATAGTCAAATAAGATGGAATTATATAGTGTTTATATATTCATATTAAACAATTGTTGCTTTAATAAAAGGAAGGGTACCAGCCCTATAACATATTAAAATATTAAATGAGTCATTTCTTTAACATCATATTAATGAAATTTTGCCTAAGCTTAAAGCTTGCTTTAAAAGGATTAAGCTTAAATAAATAGGGAAAAATCGGTCATTTTCAGGTATACATATTAAACAATAAATATTCATACCAACTGTTGAATATATAATGTAAATAACATTTATACAACCTTAGATATTAAGTATGAAAATATCTGTGAAATACCTTTACTTGTGATTTAATTACGTGATGTTAAAATCAACAAATCTTAGACTTCTGTTATTGTCATTATTTTGCTAAAACATGATATGTTTTGTGTTTTCAGAAATGTTGGAGGATCAGGCTAAAATGATGAAGCACCTAGAGGGAGAGATTGATAGGGTAGGTGAAAAACTCTTAGAAATAATATCATTGTCATCTAAATCATCCATCCATCCAAAATTTGTCTTAAGAACATAATTTTATTAATATAATAATGTATACATTTTATTAATATTTCTGTACAAGGTATATCTTAAATCTCCTTTTTGTTTTTTGCTTTCCCAACAATTGAATAAGTTCATAAAAAGAATTTTTTCTTAGTTAGATAGACAAAGTCTTACAACAATTCTCTTTTAGTTAGGAGAGATTGTTATGAATGATTGTCATTGCTTGGGTAATTGTACTTACTGTTAAATAGTTAAAAAGGATTATTAAAAAAATATTTATAGAAAAAAGATGCCCCACATCTTCTTAGGCCGGCAGGCAAGCCAACATGGCCTTTGATTGACTCTGAATTGAAGGTAATGTTAAGCAAATGTGTTTGGAGTTTTTCTTTGCATAAAATGAAGGACTACATGCACCTTTTTAGGCTAATGTTCTCATGACGCATGTTTTCTTTTTGCACTCATGGGATATGATGAGCTGGACAAGGGTGCACTTCATTTTTATTTGAATTCTACATATCATACTATATACACCCATTTTCCATCAATGTATAATATTAAAATAAATTCCTTCATCATTAATTTTACAGTAATTATTATCTCATACGAGTCTGTTCATGAAAGGTTTGATAGCATTTTTTTTCTTTTCACTTTAAAGCTTAAGCAAATTACTAATAGACTTTGGAAGGAAACTTCAATCAGGAAATCTCCATTGTCGAAACCTGAAACTCCTCAAGTGAAACCCGATTTGCCTCCAAATAAACTGACATCTCCAGTTCTAGAAATAGACAGAACTGCTCAAACACCCAAAATGGGTCAAACCAACCTGGATAATCCTGTTCCAAAATTAGACATTACAGAAGAAAGCAGGGTAGCTTGATCTTGTTGTTGGGGTGTTGTAAATCACAGTATCAGTGCATGAATTATCCAAGATTTTTTGTTTAAAAGAACACAATGTATCAGTTTTGTATGCATTGTCATAACTACTTCTCTTGGCTGCCTTGGTTCTTTTTTTGTTGTTTCATCACAAACACTGTTCATTTTGCTGGTTTAATAATTGTTGTGTTGATTTCTGGTATTTAAAAATGCTTTCATGCACATTGAAAATTGAAATATTTTATCACATAATTACTATCATAGGTTATTCAGTTATCATAGGTTATTCAGTTAAAAGTTGTGTAATGTATCCCAATGACACATTCTTTTTTTCTCATGCATTCAGTGCACTGAAATAAATCTGAAACATGTCATTTCTTCATGCTTTGTAGTTATTGTGCCATTATTTCATATTAGAATTTATAGGTTTAATATATAATACAGTATTGGTAAGTTTAAAACTTGTTCAATTCAAACATAATGTAAATTATGATAATTGCAAATCAATTTCTAGCAATGTTATAGTTTTACCACTCAAGTACCATGCATAGTTTGTATGATGGACATGTCCAACTATGTCTTTGGACAGCCCCTTGTTATTTTGATGACTTTAGATATCAATAAGTTCATGTCATATAGCTCTGACATACTACTCATCTGCACAGGTTGGCCTGGCTCTCACAGTTCTAAAAGCATCGCCTAGACACTGAAACCTGTTTAATTACTACTCAAAACTGGACTATTCTAAATTAAATGTTGGACAAGACTTATAAACAAACTAAAGGGTTAAGGGTTGGAAATGAAATAAATGAATGACTCAATCAAAGACTGTGATTTTCATTTATGAATTGTTTTTCCATTGCTCCAGAGGGATCTTCATATTTCTAAGAATAGTTGGTAAACATAATATTTATATGACCAACTTTTTTTTAATATTCCAGTTGAGAGCTCAGGATGATATGGCATACAGACGTGGTGAGGACAGACAACAATATGAACCCAGGGCTCAGTCAGGTAAGACAGAATTCTTGATATGTTATATCTGCTTGTGCAATAGGGAAAAAAATCACTTTCATTTTTGATCATTTCATTCTCATATCTTGTAACAAATGTTTGGAAACTGATAAAAAAATTTCACAATCTCTATTAGCAATTTTAATTATTAAATCTTTCAGGGACTTGACTGCTTTATTTCCTTTTGTTTATCACTTTTGTTTATCACATTCTTTTCTTGTCCTGTCTTTTTCCTCTCCTTTCTTTTCTATTTTTAGTTACATTGCAATAATGTTACTGAATCAAATTGATTTACAATAACTATGTTTACCTTGGTATTTCATCTTATATTTTTAATGTTTCCTGCACTTTGGCTTATTTGTATGTTGTTTTTGTCTTTGTACATGTATAACATATTTTATGTTTCTTACTTGACCATATTTGATGCTTAATTTTCTTTACCTCATTTCATTTTTCCTTTTCTTTAATTTTCCTTTTCTTTCATTTTTCTTTTTCTTTCATTTTTCCTTTTCTTTCTTTACCTATCTCTATCTCTTTCTTTCTGTTCTCTCTTATCTCAGATATTCCCACAATATCAGTTGCACCGTCCCCTCTATATGTCTTCACAGCCAAACGAAAAACATTACATAAGAAGGACTTTGTTGGTTTTCTTTTCCCAAATGGTAGGTATAAATCTCTATAATTTTTAGCTCATCTTTTTCAAAGGAAAAGTTGAGGTTTTAAATATTATCTTATTATCAGTTTTATGTCTCTGCGTCAATGTACATGTAGTGCAAAAACTTTTATGTAGTTCATAATTCAAACATTTCAAAGGTATCAACATGAAACTTGGAAAACTTGCTTATCTTGACAAAATGCAGTTGTAAGACAAGGGGTATAATTCTGAAAGCAATTTTTTTTACTTATGCTCTCTTTTAATGACAGACAAGCATTAACACCACATGTAGTGCTCTTGTCAAATTTATGAGAAGGTTATATTCTAAGAACTATTTAGAATGATTAAATTGACTGTTATAGGTGGGAGATCGTATGACGACTTTGGTAAGCTATAGATTCTGAGATAATTTCCAATATTCCTCTAGACATTTAGCATAATGTTACTGAAGTTTTTTATCATATACATTTGTAGTTTATTTTAGCAATATAACATTTTTCATGCTTACACCTAACATTGACTTGCATGATATTCTAATAAATTCTTTGATGATGTTACTGTGTAATGTATTGTTTTTTTGACGACCTCCAAAACATTCATCATATGGTTTGTGAGTTTAAAGGGTCGTTTAGGGGTTGTTTTTATTTTGCGTCAGTATTTTAGTATTGCTTGGAAATTTGTTCAATGACAAAAAAATTATGTTTAAAACTATTTTCCTGGGCTTCTTATATGGAAACTGTAGCACCTGTTGTTGAAAAAGCCAGTCATTACTTGTATAGAATTCAGGAAAACTTGTACAATGCTGACTGGTGTTTGACTTTTAGATAAACCGGATATAAACCCAACCAAACAAGACTTAGTATTATTCATAGCAATATATTATAATTGTAAACAGAATGGTTCATAAATTGACTTGGAATTAAGACAAATATGGACTGTTTCTAGGTATTAATAAAATACAATTATGTATAATTGTTAACAGAATATTTCATGAATAGAATGATAAGGACTATATCTAGGTTACTATAATATTGACTTAAATGTTTTCAATGATGACTGGACCTAGGCCAAAGAAGTGTGATATTTATGCATGTCTCTTGCCTGTGAGTGTAGACAATAAATGCTTGCCTCAATGTATTTTCCAGTTATCTCAATAGGTAGACTAAGAGTGTTGTACTGTGAATCAGGTGACCCGGGTTTGATTCCCGGATGGTGCAGATCTCTTTCGTTGTGATTATGAAATCCTTTCTACGGTCATTTCCACTGTACCTCTGCTCTGGCATGTACAAAAGCTATCATCAGTTCCTTGTGAAAGTAAAGGTAACTAGTACTGGTAAACTGCTTGGCAACATGCCCAGGAACAATGCAGTTGCTGAACTGCGCTCTGGTAAATTCAGTGTGGCTTACTGCCGTGATCTGGAATGAAAAATACCAACACCACCACACCACCACCATTTTCTATTTGACTTCCGCTGATGTTTGTAAATTGCCTGAAAATACACTAGGTCATCATCGTGTCATTTGAGTTTTTACCTTGTCATTTTGTCCCTTGCACGAGAGTGAACTTTGTCACAGAAATTTTTGCCTGAGAGTTACAATATATTGTCTGAGTGTCTTCGATACTAGTTTGATAGCTATTACTTACTCACTGTCTGACACTGTCTGTGTATTATCTTTTCTCACTTGTGTGAGAGTGTATTGACCAATTGCCTGAACTTTTCACTTTCCTGAAAGTTTTCTTTGTGCTAAGAGAGTGAATCTTTCCGTAGAAAAGTGTCACATGTCCAAAAGAACATAATTGTGATGTCTGATTTTTGATATTGACTCAGAGTGATTTTTGAAGTGTGTTTTTCTACCTTTAAGTTTTGAATTATGATTTTTGTATTTGATTGTTTTGATATTTGACTGAGAGTGTTTTGAGAGTGCTGATCTTGACATAAATATTTGCTTAATATGCTAATGTTATCAGTCTCTTGTCCATCACTGCCAATGTTAGTTATTGTAGTACTTGAGACATTTAGGATAGACTTTATACCAAATCAGCTTATAGTCTATATTATATGTATGTCGTAACATTAAACTCACTTATATATGTATAAAGAAATTCCTAGAAAAGACACTGTCTGTTACACTCTTTGAAAATAGAAAATCAGTAGATCTTTTTCACATTTCTTATATGTTCTGCTATGCTGCAAGACTAAAGTCACTATTAATTACCAGTTTCCTACAAAGGGTGACAACTACATATTTATTTTACATGAACATAAAGGAAGAAAATTTTGTTTATGCAAAAAACTTCGCAGCAAAATAAACAGACAATTTTAGCGTACTGACAAAATGATATCATCCAAACCAATCACCGATATAAACTTCAAAATACATTTCAAAAAATGCAAAAAGGACACTAATTGATAAATTTTGTATTTACGGAAGAAAGGAGACAAATTTATAAAATACTACAATTACATAAAGGGAAGTAATTGTGTGGAATTCACAGGCACAAGTACAAGATGAAGTTTAATGGTATTTAAAATGGAAATGTTACAAGATGAAAAGAAGACAAGGGAAAATAGTGACATTAATCAAATTTTGTTCCTACTCAAAACTGCATGCAAAATTTAGTTGAACTAACATTTACTTCCTTTATAGATAATTCCAGTGGAATAGAACAAAATAACAAGAAGTAGTTTTTCAGTCAATATATATTTAAAAACATTTTTTTGCTTAAAGCTGATATTATTGATATTTCAACTAAATTAAACTGAATATAAACTCAACAAAATCTTTGAGACACATTTTTAATTTTGAACTTTTGAATCTTTTATTATGCCATTTTTTATGACATTTTTTCTAACATTATTCAAGACATTATTAATGTAGCTATATATGACAAAAAGCTTCTTGATAAACAAAAGAATGTTTAATGTAAACTTTGTAAAAGGTCGAAATTGAGGTGTTTTTTTTATCATGTTATAATTATTATTGAGGGGCTTTTGGTAATTATACCATAAAGTGACTGCAAGGACTTTGTGGGGCTTGCATTTAGCTTATTTATAGTGTTGCTTTAAAATGTTAAGTTGATAACATTTGCATTTCAGATATCATTGTGATTATACAAATTGTATGTATATGGATTATAAAGACATAGATATATATTGAAGACTTTATTAGATATAATTTGTTCTTCCATTATTTTTTCAGAGCCGCAAACAGAACGTATGTACAACAGGAGACCAAATGTAAGTAATGAAAGTTAAGTATTAGATTAAGTTAAGCTTTTGGTGTAACTTACTAATTAACCTTCATAGTTAAAACAAATAAGAGACAGAAACAAATAAACCTGCAAAACAAAAGAAAAGTAATATTATATGTGAAGACAATGCTTTGAAAATATGTTATCTTGCACTTTTCCCAGAGATTGTAAATTGCTGAAAAAGCATTTGTAATTTAAGTTCATTATTACATAGTAAATTAATTTCTGTTACATAATGTTTTTATGGCATTTATATTCTTATGTCATTCTTAAAATAATTTCAGAGGGATCGTGAAATATTTGGACAATCAAAGCAAAGTGTGCCAGAGTACCTCAATGTGTCACCTAGAAGACATCCAGGTTGGTTTATACTCATTCTTATTTAAAATTTTCAGCCATTTTTTTATATCTTTTTTCTGTCACATATTTTTTTTTATAAATCTCTTTTAAGTTCTGATATTGAATTCATTATTGATAGTTTTATATATTTGAAGTTTTGTATAACACATTCTGAATTTGGATTAAAAAACATTTTGAAAATATTTGTTAAATTTAGAATAAACAGATCATGCTGGTGACACTTCATATTATCATCTTTTATCTCTGTCAAGCATTTTACTTTATGTGTCAAGAGCGTGAATAAAATCTTTAGAATATCATATCTCATTCCTACAGAACGGTCTGGAGGTAACTTAAAACTATGTGTAACTAATGTTTTATACTGACAAAATATAACAGTGTCTTAATACTGACATGTAACTGACATACGGCAGTCCTTCATCTAGATAATAGAAAGATTCACTAGGCTCAAGTGTCAGGTGGGAGGGATTTTTATGTAGATTTGTTGGACGTAAGGACGAGTCCCTGGTGAGCTTCTTGTACTCAAGCACTTGTGGAGAGAAGTTGATAAAAAAAAATTGTGTGAAATTTAATACTTGTTTGGGACCAATATGTGAAGAAATTAAAAGTGTCCATGGGAAGAGATAAACATTTTTTTCTGAAATTTAAAAAAACTGCAGCTGTGTTTAACCCTTATCTGGTTAACATTTAATAAACTTGTAATAAACTTATCTATTCTTTGATTTTTGACATTGCATGTTAAGAGGTTTAGTTGTCTAGATATGACTTTTTTTTCCAAAAGTAAAAGTTCTGATTAAACTGTTTTGTATTGAGTCACTTTTTATAATTAAGATCTTTTTGCTCCTTAAAGAGTGCTTGATTAGAAGTAAGATTGATGTTAGGGTCTCACTTTTGCATATTTGGTAAAGTAATCTTCCTATTGGCCCATTTGCTAAAGATTTGTATTATTAGAACAAAATGCTAAAAGAAATGTTAAATGTTAATGTTTTGTCTATGTGTTGTTTTTCCAATGTTTGTGGTTTGTTAAAATAATTACTAAATGTTTGTTTCTGTGGGACTGGTTAATAGAATACAGAAAAATACCCATGAAAGCAATTGATACCTAATTAAACGTTACTTACTAAATTAAGCTTTATTATTGCATGGTTTGATTGTTTTGTATTTTAATAAATTTTCAGTTTTATTATTTGATTTGCAATAGGTTTTGAAAAAAGAGTAACAATATTTCCTTCAAGGACTTTCTTCAAGTTAAAGCTCAAATATTCACCTTTAAAAGTATGGTAATGATAAAATGGACCTACCTAAATCCTGTATAATAGAGATGTTGGAAGTATTTGTCACTTTTATGACACCTCCAGTTTGTATTTTCTCTGAAATAAAAAATTCTTTTTTTTTTCTACTTAATTTGTGAATGTCTTGTGAGTCAAAATGTATAGTTCAATGTTTTCTGTCCAGTCATTCTTTTCTTGTGAATGATATGCACCTATTGCTAGCCATATGCATTGTTTGAATCATGACTTTGTCTTGATAAACAGGCATTTTCTTTTGCAATAGACACTTGTTTCTATAAATAGACACTTATTTCTATAAATAGACACTTTTATTCAAAAATTTATTCAAATATTTATTTATCTCTAGTTGGAAGGCTATACAACAAAGACTCCACATATAAGACAGACTTTGATGTACCTTTCGGTAAACATGGTCCCCATAACCTTGGCAACCCAAACAAAGAGCCAATGGAACCTTACAATCCATTTGGTATGGAAGGGGGCGGAGCACCAATGGTGGATTCTGTTGGCCAGAGAAGAACACGTATTGCTGGATCAATGGGTTATCTTGGAAGAGAGGTATTCTTCACTGAATTAAAACAATGATTTGTAAAATGCTTTTAACTCTAAGTCTGCTAGCAGTGACTGATTCTACCCATTCAACCAGTGAAGACCAAGATTATCCGACACTTTCCTGCCTTTTGGTCATAGTCTGCACTGTTTGCTATTTAGTCAGTAATTATTATGGAAATTATGGAAATTTACCCTAAAATTGTTTATTGGTTTTGTCCTGATTGTAAAATGGTTAAGTCCATTTAAGACTTTTAAGTTGAGTAAGTTAAATATTCCAATGAACTAAAACAGTTAAAATTTATGAAAAGCATAGATAATCAGTTATAATATTATCATTAAGCTTATTATAAGCTGGAATACTTCTGAATAATTTGGTCTGCAATTTATTACTTAACTTTTATCATGCTACATTTGTATAGCAGACTTGTCTTATATTTGGAAATTCAGGATATCAATTATAAATTTGATCTCATCTTTTACAGATGTCTGATTCAGCAAGAGCAAGGCGTGCACACAAGAGAGAGCTTCTCCAAGAAATTGGTATGTTTCGTTCTTCTTTTTCATTTTTACAGGAGAAACGGCTTTCAGAATAAAAATTTGATTCTTTTCTACTTGAGCTTAAATTTTCTTTCTTATTAAAGCTATGCATAAGCATTGATAATATGATTTGTCATTCAATTTAAATCATAATTCTGAAAAGTAATAAAAAATAACTGTAGCAAATAATAAGTGAATGAGATTGTAAAGCATGTAATCATCTTTAATAAATGAAAATAGTTTCAACAAATAGAGGTTGAAGAGTTGAATGTTGATTAAAGGGAGACAACTGCTTTTCTTACAGGTGAACAAGCTGCTTTTGAACGTGCAAGAAAAGAGAGAGAAAAGGCATACAATAGACAAGAGGTATGTATAACTTTTTATTTTAAATATTTTCAACTAATATCAAAGCATCTACATCTGCAAGATATTCAACCTGTCTTCTGTGGAGTCAAAGCAAAACTTGTCCTTGACGGATTTGAACCCACACTGCAAGTAGTCCTTAGATTACTTGTCTGAAGTGTTAACCATACGTTAAAGCCCTGGAGATCCCTTGATGGCAATGACAACAAAGTTTTAAACTGAAATTTTCAGACAAGGTTTAATTGAATCTGTTCATGAGAGATAATTGAAAGTGTTATATTGTAAAGTTAAACATTGTTTAAGTTAACAAAAGGCAATTCTTACTTTGAAGAAAGTCTATAAACATTTTAGTTAAGTGGTTGACAGGTTCAAATAGCTTTTAATATCATAAGCAACAGTTAGTGTGAAGAACATTATATTAAGCAAAAAGATACATTAAAGAGTAAGTAGTAAGTGAAGTGTTTTAAAGAATGTTTTTAAAGATTTCACACTTATATCATTGGGAATAGTTTATCTTTTACTGAAATAAATGATATGTTTTTTTTGACAGTTTGTTGAGGTAGCAGATGCAATTAGACAGAAGAAGGTTGGCTACCCACGATTCAATCAAAATGGTTTGATATCCCAGCATCATCATTTACCGCATATGTTCAACACTGTAAGTTCACTCATTAAGTATGCAGTTTGAATGTAAATAATTGTTTTATAATTTAAAGTGAAAAATAATTTGTAAAGTTAACACTTAGTAATGCATAAATTATGTTATGTGAACAATTTTTTTAGTAATACATATTATGTGATCAGTAATCAATGATTTGTTTGTGAAGTAAACTTAAATGTTTATGTTCAAAGAGAGGTTTTTAAAATTTTTACCTTGCTGGACCTGAATGTATGATGATACTTTATGTTTAGAATTATGATAGATTCTATATAAAAATATTGTCGTTGTTTTCCAGGTACCATATGCAGAAAGAATGGAACAAAAGAAGTACCATGACTTTTTAGAACGCCAAATTGAAGACAGAAATGCTATGACCCGTATAGGTCAGTTTGAGGAACAACGCCAAGCAAAAGAGGTTTGTCTCATTCTTTGTCATCAACCTTACACCCCTTATTTACACAATGGGATTTCCTGCTTTTAATATTGGAAACTTTTGTCCAAATCTAAACAAGTTATTAGAAAACATTCAATTCATGGTGTTTTTCTGTCAAAAGTTTTCTATATACCTACATAAATTACATGTATATATTACAGCACTATCGTACAATAGATGGCTTCTTTGGACGACGGGGAGGTGGTAATGTGAAAGGTCCAGATACCAGAAAAATTAATCTAGACAAAGCCATCCATAATCCACAAAGCACTGTAAGTAAACAATGTTACTATTAATAGACATTTTCTTAAGGTCACTGAGTTCACCCTCTGTTCTTTGATGCAAGTTCGAATATTGTTCAGATGTTGAATACTTTCATGTGCCAGGGGGATGAAACCTTCTTGTGGAAGGTTTGCAGTTCTACTCAGATGCCTGTTTGTGCCTGAAATAATGTTTGACGAAACATCTAAAAAAATCCTTCACAATGTTTCTGAGAAAAAATTGAAATAAAAATTGTTTCTTTACAAAGTGAACAGTTCATTAAAAGATTTTGCTGATATGTAAAATCTATTTCATGGGTTCACAGGAGAACCAAAGTAACTTGTGTTGCTTAGCAACCTCGACCAAACTTTGTTATGTGCCTCTGCTCATGTATTTTCGTCCTCTATGAAAGAGCTTTTATTTTGTTGCAACTGTTGTTTTTACACTTGTATGATGAAAATTGTTTAAAATATATACATGTATAGAAATTATTCATGTACCTATGACATCATTTCTGTGTAAGAATTTCAGTTCAGGATGTTCATAGTAAATTTTACAATTTCTCATAAAATAAATTCTGAAGTACTGGTTTAATGTCAAACAAATTTGAAATTGGTCGCTTTCAGCTTGGGACACCACGAAACGATCACGACTATTTTTATGTGAATCGATGGGAACTATATCGTTAAGGTGAAATATACGATACACGTATAGGATAATATCAGTTGCTTTTTTGATAATCAGAAAGCTTTCTCCCCCATTCTCAGTAATATGGACTCTTCTGCTACTGATTATGGAAGAGTCTATTATAATAGCAATAGGGGGAGAATTTAAAATTCAAGCTTGATTAATTTGCACAGCAATTATCATTTAGATAGAGCATACTGTCATTTAAACAGTATCAAGAGCTTTTAATTGGTATCACACTTTTTTTTTCATTTCTTTTAATCATCACACTATCTGTCATCTCATGAAAAAAATTATTGAGATTTAGTCACCGAGATAAGCAGATCTTTGAGTAGTCTCCCTTTGACAAAATCAATGTGCATGTATTTTGTAATAATATTTTTTTTATTAGCAAGTTCAATGTTATGTATCACAGGTTATAACCGTTTTATCACATACCCATGTTGCATTTGCAACTCCATAAAAAACAGTATTGCACAGCCTTGCATATATTTGTTGTGACGTCATTTGCGTTACCCAAACATAGCGTAAAGACGCGCTAAATGTTAGTGTTACACTATAGGCATGTCAATTATGAAAAGGGATTATTTTCACTGTAAACAGTTCTTATGTTGGTTATGTGATAAATAGAATATTATATTCGTGTAGATTCATTTCTTTATTTATTGAACTTGTTGAATAAAATAATATTACACTCGCCAGAGGCTAGCATAAAATAATTTTATACAACTCATTCAATAAATTCTGTATTGAATCTACACTCATTTAGTATCCTCTATAATTATAAAATTTATTATTATAAATGGATTTTGAAAGTTGTTGATGAATTTTATGATGTTATTTCTAGGGTTATGGGAATGAGTTAAGTTTACTATAGAAAGGTAGAGTTACAAGTTCATATACGTAATTATCTCTATGTTGTCCAAATTCCCTGAAATACCACAATTCCTTTTACTACAAAGTATAAAAATAACCATAATACACCTTCAATTACTAAAATTCAAAGGAATACTTTTAAATTTGTATATTTTTGTGTGTGTGACCCTTTTATCGTCTTTCTCTTTGATGTATTGTTAAAATACTAAGATTACTAATTTTTCTTTTCAGCTGATTAATTAAATGGAACCCTATAAATACATTTATGTGAGAATTTTTTTTAAGGTGGTTTAAGTATTTGTGGTTAAAGGGAAAGCTTTTACACAAGGCACTGCACCTTTTTTTGTTTCAACAAGACCAGTCTGTTAAATACTTTTCTCCTATTGGTTTATTTCAAATTTGAATCAGCAAATCAAATGGCAATATTTTAGACTGGTTTTATGATTTAAGCTAAAAATATCATCAGCCATATTCTGAACCTAATTTAAAGACTTCCATAGTTACAGTTTCCCAATGACAATATGTAATTTATTACATATTCACAATATTAAGTTTAATTTTTTCTAAGTGAGATAACTTCTACAAATTAAGGAAAGTTGATAAGAGAACTGCAAGCAAATTAGGAACAATTTGCATCAGAATGTCCTGTACATTTTATTCAAAGTTATATGTGTTATTAAGTGCTTTATGGTGTTACAAGTGGTTATTTTATATTTCAATTTAATATAAATCTGTTGACAGATATGAATATTAATTTTGATATTTTGATGAAGATGTGAATAGACTTACTCAGGAATTAAGACTATTTGGGTTTTTCACAACTAATCAGGGGTATAAATCAGCTTCAAAATTAAGTGCAACAGGTTGACTAATTTATTGTGACAGATAGTGTCAATGAAGCTATAATGGTAAAAGTTTGGTGGTGCCGGGGGATTAGCATCGAAAAACCCACATTTGCTGAGTTCTGGATAATGATTCAATTGATTCAATAATTCATGCCTGGTTATTCCTAAATACATGACTGTGTACAATTTTAAACAATTTCTTGCATATTGCGGTTTGAGTTTGATTTTTATCAAATTTTCACCACATTCATGAAAAAGCAGTGAAAAAATTTAACTGAGAATGTCATCATTTTCTTCATCTAAGAGGGCTTTCATTATTTCATTTTTGTAACCAAATATTAATTAATAGTAACAAAGTATATAATTAAAGTACTAATCTGTGTTGTTTATTGAACTCAAAGAGTCAGTATTACAACAAAGTTAGATTGGAAGAAGAGATGGCACCGCACGAAATTCTCAACACGTTTAAACCACGCATAACCATTAACAGCACACATAAGAATTTATATGAATATCCACAGGGCGAACTTAAGGTAAAGCTAGCTTAGACAGTGGTAGAATAATCGTGTATATAATCATAGCGTTTATGTCGCATTATTCCCGTGTTTTAAAAAGTGTGTCACGTCAAATGTTTAATTAATAATAATATGTTGCAGTTATGGTGCATATATAATACTTGTGTAGCAAAGTTTGTTACTGCAAAAGTATGATTAAATGTTGCATTTATGTCACATATTACTCTTATTAAAAAGTGTTTGTAATGTTAAATCAGTGTTTTTATTTGAAAATTTTTGTCCAGTTCAATGTATGTTTTTTGTTCCCTTAACAACAAATCTATGTTTTTAACAGCTGAAAAATTTGAAAAGCCGGCAAATACATGTATAATGTAAGACTAACTATGGAATGTTTTCTGTTAATGTTGTTTAAGTTCTGAATAATATATATATATTCTCAAATATATATTTTCATATACTGCATTATAGAAGTAGTTCAAAAATTAATTGAGCCGTGTCATGACAAAACCAACATAATGGGTTTGCAAACCCTATAACAAGTAGAGAAACTGATAGCGAACAGCATGGATCCTGATCAGACTGCGCGGATGCGCAGGCTGGTCTGGATCCATGCTGGTCGCAAACGCACTATGTTGGTTTTGTCATGACACGGCTCAATTGTATAATTATAACAAGATATACATATAAAACATAACTATTTTCAGAGACAGCTCTTTTATTAAGGTAAACAACGTAAACTGTAGTTTTAATTCAAGAAGATGCCATTATTTTGATTATAGCATTTTATTTTTATAAAGATGATTTTTGTTTGATGCTAGGTTAAAGAATTTAATTTATGTTTTCAGCAGCTACATGTAGATCAGACTTTTTTTTAGAAAAATATGAACATTGTAATTGTCTTAGGGCTCTTAAATCTAAGTTGATCATGTATCACACAAATAACTATTTGACCCTCCTTTATATATGTGTTCAAATTTCATAGTACATTATACAATAAATAATTATGCCCCCTTTTGAAAAAAAGGGGGTATATTGCTTTGCACTTGTCGGTCCGTCGGTCCGTCGGTCCGTCGGTCCGTAGACCAAATGGTTTCCGAGTGATAACTAAAGAACCCTTAGGCCTAGGAACTTCAAACTTGGTATGGTGATTGGTCATGACAAGTAGATGACCCCTATTGATTTTGGGGTCAAGGGGTCAAAGGTCAAGGTCACATTGACCTTGTAAGCAAAAACGGTTTCCGATCAATAACTAAAGAACCTTAAGGCCTAGGAACTTCAAACTTGGTATGGTGATTTGTCATGATCAGTAGATGACCCCTATTGATTTTGGGGTCAAGGGTCAAAGGTCAAGGTCACATTGACCTTGTAAGCAAAAACGGTTTCCGATCAATAACTAAAGAACCTTAAGGCCTAGGAACTTCAAACTTGGTATGGTGATTTGTCATGATCAGTAGATGACCCCTATTGATTTTGGGGTCAAGGGGTCAAAGGTCAAGGTCACATTGACCTTGTAAGCAAAAACGGTTTCCGATCAATAAGTAAAGAACCCTAAGGCCTAGGAACTTCAAACTTGGTATGGTGATTGGTCATGATCAGTAGATGACCCCTAACGATTTTGGGTCAAGGGGTCAAAGGTCAAGGTCACATTGACCTCTTGGGTAAAAAACGGTTTCCGATCAATAACAAAAGAACCCTTAGGCCTAGGAACTTCAAACTTGGTATGGTGATTGGTTATGACCAGCAGATGACCCCTATTGATTTTGGGGTTAAGTGGTCAAAGGTCAAGGTCACATTGACCTTGTAGGTAAAAACGGTTTCCGATCAATAACGAAAGAACCATTAGGCCTAGGGACTTCATACTTGATATGGTGATTGGTCATGATCAGTAGATGACCCCTATTGCTTTTGGAGTTAAGGGGTTAAAGGTCAAGGTCACATTGACCTTGTAGGTAAAAACGGTTTCCGATCAATAACGAAAGAACCCTTAGGCCTAGGGACTACAAACTTGATATGGTGATTGGTCATGATCAGTAGATGACCCCTATTGATTTTGGGGTCAAGGGGTCAAAGGTCAAGGTCACATTGACCTCTTAGGTAAAAACAGTTTCGGATCAATAAATAAAGAACCCTTAGGCCTAGGAACTTCAAACTTGGTATGGTGATTGGTCATGATCAGTAGATGACCCCTATTGATTTTGGGGTCAAGGGGTCAAAGGTCAAGGTCACATTGACCTCTTAGGTAAAAGCAGTTTCCGATCAATAACTAAAGAACCCTTAGGCCTAGGAACTTCAAACTTGGTATGGTGATTGGTCATGACCAGCAGATGACCCCTACTGATTTTGGGGTTAAGGGGTCAAAGGGAAAGGTCACATTGACCTTGTAGGTAAAAATGCTTTCCGATCAATAACTTAAGAACCCTTAGGCCTAGGAACTTCAAACTTGGTATGGTGATTGGTCATGACCAGCAGATGACCTATTGTTTTTAGGGTCAAGGGGTCAAAGGTCATGTAACATTGACCTTGTAGGTAAAAACGGTTTCTGATCAATTAACCAAAAACGCTTAGGCCTAGGAACTTCAAAACTTTGTATGATGATTGGTGGTGACCAGCAGATGACCCCTATTGAGTTTTGGGTCAAGGGGTCAAAGGTCAAGGTCACATCGACCTTGTAAGTAAAAACGGTTTCTGATCAATAACTTAAGAACGCTTAGGCCTAGGAACTTCAAACTTGGTATGGTGATTTTTCATGACCAGCAGATTACCCCTTTCGATTTTGGGATCAAGGGGTCAAAGGTCAAGGTCCCATTGACCTTGTAAGTAAAAACGGTTTCTGATCAATAACTAAAGAACACTTGGGCCTAGGAACTTCAAACTTGGCATAGTGATTGGTCATGATCAGCAGATGACCCTATTGATTTTGGGGTCAAAGGTCAAGGTCACATTGACCTTGTATGTTAAAACGGTTTCAGATCAATAATAAAAGAACCCTTAGGCCTAGGAACTTCAAACTTGGCATGGTGATTAGTCATGACCAGCAAATGACCCCTATTGATTTTGGGGTCAAGGGGTCAAAGGTCAAGGTCACATTGACCTTGTAAGTAAAAACGGTTTCTGATCAATTAAGTAAAAACGCTTAGGCCTAGGAACTTCAAACTTTGTATGATGATTTGTCTTGACCAGCAGATGACCCCTATTGAGTTTTGGGTCAAGGGGTCAAAGGTCAAGGTCATGACCAGTAGATACTTGATAACCCTTATTAATTGTTTGATCACTGGGTCAGAAGTCATGCATAATTACCTTATCACATGAATAATTGGCTGCTGATAGGGGGCATACATGTTTTACAAACATATCTTGTTTTATTAGCATAGCTATAAGATAGTAAATGATACTATAATAATAATCCAGTTACCTCTCTGGCCTAGGTTCGATCCCTGGGAGATGCTTCGGTAGTTTAGCACGGAGGAAGGTAGTCTAGTACTGTTGTAACTCTCCAGGAACGATGGTTAGCAAACTACCCGCCTATATGACTGAAATACTGTTGGGAAAAGGCATAAAATGAAACAAACAAACAAACAAACTATAATAATAATGATGATAATAATAATCCAGTGAAAAGCTCATCAGAAAATTCGAGGAAAAGAAAGGAAATTAGACCTTATAATTATACTTAGTGCAATAACTGATAAAGGGCTATTAAATTAAGAAGGACTAAATATTCCGTTATTGCACTAAGGCAACACATATTATACTGCTGATGTGTCTCTCAGTAACCAAATAAACATAAAATGAATAAAAAAATGAAACTCAAATATTACTTGCAATTTAACATACATAATTAATAATCATACAACTTTAAATTACTGATATATGAATATCAATCCACACAATTTCTTTGATAATGAAATAACATGAAGAGCCATTATGTTTACTTGATACTTCTGATTTTTATCAGACCAAATGTAAATGAGATAACAATATTGCAAAAGTTTAAAAAAAAGATCGAGGATTGATTGTGAACTAGCTGTATAGAATAGTGTTTGCTAGATGATAGCCCTGTGTGAAGTGTGTGATTGTTACCATTATATAATTGATATTGGTATATAGGTCAGTTTTCATCAACATCTGGCATTTTATAGCAATTAGACTCATTGACATACATTAGTTATCCATTAAATTTAAAGTACTTTTTTTGGTAAGGCCAATAATTGGTCTAAAAATCTAAAAAAAATGTGGCAGGGAAAATGAGTTTCATTAAGTTTAAAGGAAGATTTGCAGGTTTTATGAAATAAAACAATTTTGTTTCCAATCTTTCACAAGATGGTCTATTTTGATAGATTTGGATGGCAAAATCTAGCTTTACCAAATATGATAACCGCCAAAAGAATACATAATATAGCAAAAGCCTATACTTAGCAAAAGCCTTACTTAATTGAGTTTTTTTTCCATGAGGCACAAATTTACCACACAAAAAAAAGCCCATAATTTTAGCCCTGACATCTTGATAAATCTTTGACGCTGAATAAGGGTTGTTGTAATGAATGACAGTTGAGCATAAACATTGTATCAAGTTTTGTAATCAATTAATGTTTTAACATATTTTCTGCTCCTTGCAGAGTATTGATGTAAGAAATTACATGGGACGTGTTTGAAGGTAATTGTTACACTAGATTAAATACCTACTAAAATGTGCTAGATTGTCTTTTCCTGTTCAGCAATGTATTATAGTTCTTGCTAGTTGTCCCCTTTTTTCTTTACAATTTTACCCTGCTAAATTAGCATAATGGACTTGTATCAATTTAGGAACCATTTCTGGAGGATTTCAGTACTAAAATACAAACTTACTGAATTTGTTATTATTTAGCAGTCAGAAGTAGAGTGAGGGCCGTCTGCACCATATGTTATTATATTTGATATTTCTGTATCAAAATACCAAAATTAGACGGCAAGTAGTATAAGGTCAAGTCAGACTCAGAGGTTATCAAAAGGTGTTGATCTGTGCTGGTAATTATAAAAAAAAAACCTCCCCCTATCCTTCAAACCTTCCTCACAGATAACTAGAAACCTTCAATTTACTCTGTAACCCGAGTATTTATATTATTAAACATGTATACACAAGATTATTACACAAACTATCTTTCAAACTGCCTTTGGAAAATTTCAGTAAATTCTAGGCTAATTTAAATTTTCTATATAATTGATATGACCATTACTTTTTCCAGCTATGGTTCACTATGTTAATATGATGTGACAATCAATTTGGTTGTTTAAAATTTTAAGCCAATCACATTCATTTATTTAATTATCCAATCAGCTTATCAATAGTCCTCATCCAATTAAATGCATTTTATTTTTATCACCCAATCATGTTTCATTTTTTGTATATTTTTACCCAATCATATTCAAGCAGTTCTAATTTTAGTGCATATTGTAATCAGCCTCAGTTTAATTTATTCATATATATTTTCTTTGTTTTGTTCTTTTCACTATTTGCATAATACTTACTGTGTGGGCATTTGGTACTTTTTTCTTTATTGCAAGCTTTAATAATAGTTTTGCTTGATGTCTGTCCAAAAATAATATTATTCCTGTATGCTTTGCATTGTATAAACACATGTCTATTTGCTGTTGTTATTCAATATACTCAATAGACTGTAACCATGTTTACTACAACAATTATCTCTTTAAATTGCAAAAGACGTTCTATAATTTACACAGTTTTTTTTTTCTTATTTTAAGTACATTTTTATAGGTATGTTTTTTCTGTTGTGATTTTCTTCCAGTCTAACTCTATTTTCGTTGATTTTTTTATTGAAACACAATAATTTATTGAAATTTGAGGTCAGAATATATTAATTTTGTTAATGTCAAATCAAAACAGCTTATCTATGGATATCATTTGTAATGAGTATATTATACGTGAGTATATATAGATAAAATTAAGACTTCAAATCATTCTTATAAGAGTGTAAAATCTAGAAGTACTGTATATAATTATGATAAATTTAAAATTAATTATGAACTGACTATACAAAAATAACATGCAACATACTTATCAATCATATACATGTAAATTGTTTTATTCACACATTTGTAGATTGTGCTATGAACATTATAAGTCAATCTCAAAATAAAATCTCATATAGAAATGCAGTCAATAAACAAATATGCTAATACTAAATAAATATGCTGTTGTGGAACCTGTCAAATATCAAAATGACAATTATTGCACTGTTTGCTGTAACAATAAATGCGTTATAACATTTCTTTATTTTTTTTATTTTCCAGACAAACTACTCGGGGAGAACGCCTTACGCTGCAGAGTTTTGAAAATAAATTTTCCCAAACAGATGAATTAGATAGGATATAGCAATAAAGATTTCATAGCACATTAGATGTCATCCTCTTGTAGATACAGCCATTTTTGCAAGCCTCTTAATCATCTAGATCCATAAATAGCATGCGTCTTTATCACATAGATTATTTTATTATTGGAACAATGTGTATATATGAAAAAAATAATGACTTTTGAAGAAATGAAACATATAAATTTTGATTTCCGTTTCACAAATTCCAGAGGATACTCATAAAGGGACTGGGGAAATCTTGTATTTCAATGTGTTTTTATTAAGGGCAAAAATTTACGCTTTTCATTTTTGTGAAACAGACAGAGATGTTTGCTCAATATTTATGCCCCCATTTTGAAAAAAAGGGGGTATATTGCTTTGCACTTGTCGGTCCGTCGGTCTGTCGGTCCGTCGGTCCGTCGGTCCGTAGACCAAATGGTTTCCGAGTGATAACTAAAGAACCCTTAGGCCTAGGAACTTCAAACTTGGTATGGTGATTGGTCATGACCAGTAGATGACCCCTATTGATTTTGGGGTCAAGGGGTCAAAGGTCAAGGTCACATTGACCTTGAAAGCAAAAACGGTTTCCGATCAATAACTAAAGAACCTTAAGGCCTAGGAACTTCAAACTTGGTATGGTGATTGGTCATGACCAGTAGATGACCCCTATTGATTTTGGGGTCAAGGGGTCAAAGGTCAAGGTCACATTGACCTTGAAAGCAAAAACGGTTTCCGATCAATAACTAAAGAACCTTAAGGCCTAGGAACTTCAAACTTCGTATGGTGATTGGTCATGACCAGTAGATGACCCCTATTGATTTTGGAGTCAAGGGGTCAAAGGTCAAGGTCACATTGACCTTGAAAGCAAAAACAGTTTCCGATCAATAACTAAAGAACCTTAAGGCCTAAGAACTTCAAACTTGGTATGGTGATTGGTCATGATCCGTAGATGACCCCTATTGATTTTGGGGTCAAGGGGTCAAAGGTCAAGGTCACATTGACCTTGTAGGTAAAACCGGTTTCCGATCAATACCTAAAGAACCTTAAGGCTTAGGAACATTAAACTTGGTATGGTGATTGGTCATGATCAGTATATGACCCCTATTGATTTTGGGGTCAAGGGGTCAAAGGTCAAGGTCACATTGACCTTGTCGGTAAAAACGGTTTCTGATCAATAACTAAAGAACCTTAAGGCCTAGGAACTTCAAACTTGGTATGGTGATTGGTCATGATCAGTAGATGACCTGTATAGATTTTGGGGTCAAGGGGTCAAAGGTCAAGGTCACATTGACCTTTTAATTAAAAACGGTTTCTGATCAATAACAAAAGAACCCTTAGGCCTAGGAACTTCAAACTTGGTATGGTGATTGGTTATGACCAATCAGATGACCCCTATTGATTTTGGCATTAAGGGGTCAAAGGTCAAGGTCACATTGACCTTGTAGGTAAAAACGGTTTCCGATCAATAATGAAAGAACCCTTAGGCCTAGGGACTTCAAACTTGAGATGGTGATTGGTCATGATCAGTAGATGACCCCTATTGATTTTGGGGTCTAGGGGTCAAAGGTCAAGGTCACATTGACCTTGTAGGTAAAAATGCTTTCGGATCAATAACTTAAGAACCCTTATGCCTAGGAACTTCAAACTTGGTATGGTGATTGGTCATGACCAGCAGATGACCTATTGATTTTGGGGTCAAGGGGTCAAAGGTCAAGGTCACATTGACCTTGTAGGTAAAAACGGTTTCCGATCAATTAACTAAAAACGCTTAGGCCTAGGAACTTCAAACTTTGTGTGATGATTGGTCATGACCAGCAGATGACCCCTATTGAGTTTTAGGGGAAGGGGTCAAAGGTCAAGGTCACATTGACCTTTTAAGTAAAAACGGTTTCTGATCAATAACTCAAGAACGCTTAGGCCTAGGAATTTCATACTTGGTATGGTGATTTGTCATGACCAGCAGATTACTCCTATTGATTTTGGGATCAAGGGGTCAAAGGTCAAGGTCACAATGACCTTGTAAGTAAAAACGGTTTCTGATCAATAACTAAAGAACGCTTCGGCCTAGAAACTTCAAACTTGGCATGGTGATTGGTCATGACCAGCAGATGACCCCTATTGATTTTGGGGTCAAAGGTCAAGGTCACATTGACCTTGTATGTTAAAACGGTTTCTGATCAATAATAAGAGAACCCTTAGGCCTAAGAACTTCAAACTTGGCATGGTGATTGGTCATGACCAGCAGATGACCCCTATTGATTTTGGGGTCAAGGGGTCAAAGGTCAAGGTCACATTGACCTTGTAGGTAAAAACGGTTTCTGATCAATTTACTAAAAACGCCTAGGCCTAGGAACTTCAAACTTTGTATGATGATTGGTCGTGACCAGCAGATGACCCCTATTGAGTTTTGGGTCAAGGGGTCAAAGGTCAAGGTCATGACCAGTAGATACTTTATAACCCTTATTAATTGTTTGATCACTGGGTCAGACGTCATGCATAATAACCTTATCACATGACTAATTGGCTGCTGATAGGGGGCATACATGTTTTACAAACATATCTTGTTTAGTAATAAAAATTATGTTTGTCTCAAATTTATGTTATTTGTATATATATAGTGTCATATTGTCATAATATTGTAAATCATTAATGAGAATTGTTTCTGTGATATTTGAAAGATTTTTTATATGTACATAATTGATCTGATCAGATTGGAAAGGAAAATAAATTTTCAAGTTTTATCTTTATTTCTGTCATGCGCTGCTTAAAAAAATGAAGAATTAATTCCTTGCCAAAAAGTGGGATTAATATCAACTTATGATTAGGCTATGCACACTGCAATTTTGTTCTTTCTTAAAGATGTCACAATGAATTTGAAAAAATGTTTGAAAAAACTTGGTGGCTTTTTATAAGCAAAAAATAAATAGTGTGCTTATTTGAACAATAAAGATGTTTTGAGATAATGATGTAGGAACAAGGCCCTGTCATTTAAAAATTATGCCGGTAACTTTGAACTGTTTCATTGAAGTTTTCCAAGTTTCCAAGTTTCGTATAATGTAAATTTATCTTGAATTAAAATGTTACAAAGTATTTATATATCATAACAGTATTCTGTATGTAGAAATTAAATGTCTTGTTCAAAATTAATGTTTACAAAAAATTTATGCCTTATAACTTTGACGTTCCATTATCTTATTTAATAAAATTTAATAGATTTCATTTTATGTGCCAATTTGATTTAGTGATGTCAGATCATAGATGAAATTTTTTTCTTCAAGTTTTACAGGAAAATATTTTGTTCCAATTAAAATGAAACAGTCTTGTTTTATTTTCAAATTAAGTGAAACATTTCTATTTTTTGATTTGAATGAAATAGAATTTTGTTGTATCTGTTTAAACTGAACAAACCACTTTTTTCTTAAAAATTTTGAAATTGAACATTTTCAACAAAAGGAAACAATGTTTTATTTCACGGAAAGCAGTCAAATTTTAGTTTATGTTTATCAGATAAAAGCACGACAAAATAAATTGATTAAACATATCAGCTTTATGAAATATATATTGTGCACATTACAATGTTTTTTATATGTTAATGATAATGTTTAACCTGTGTTATGAAGAGCAAAAGAAACCTGTGATATTTATGTTTGGTTTGATTATTTGGGTCCAGGGATGTTTTTTTTCTATTTGTTTTCATTGTAGAGTTTTATTTATACAGTACATTTTAAAGCCATTTTTTAGTTATAAATATATTTATATATTATTTTTTATTAAAGTTTTGTGATAAAGACTTTTTTTCTTGTTTATTTTTTCTGTTTATAATTGTTTCCACATTTTTGTTAGATTTTTATGAATATATAATATTATATTTACACACTAAAAAGACTATTTCAACATTGAAAAAGAAGTTTCAATGTTCATATATATATATATATGACCATTTTAAAGAAGCTTTTTCATAGTTTTGGTATAAATATTTACAATTTGTGCAGTAAATTAAGCAAAATATTAAGTTTGACAATAATACAGCATGTAGCTGGGAAACACTTGATGTGAAATTGATTTTTTTGTTAAATCAGTTGGATGTTTTTTTAAAATCATAGCATTTCATAACCATTTTGTTTTTGGAATGACTTTATTGTTTATGATTTTCTTTGTTGAAGAAAGCTTTTAAATTTATGAAGAAAAATAATATTTTTTCCCAAAATTTATAAGACTGCTTCTTTAAAGTGATTAAAGTTTGTAAAGAAAATAATATTTTACCCAAAATTGATGAGACAGCTCCTTTAAAGTCTTGCATTATCAACAATTTTCATGTACATGTAGTTGTTCATATTGGTTTAACCTTTGGTGATTAAACCATATTTGCCAAATTTATATCTGTCAAAATATATAACAAATATTTCATTGATCATATTCCGAAATAATTGTCAGGATTTTGCTGTGGGATACTTTTTGATTATCTTCACCATTTAATTTGAATTGAAAAAGAAAAAACTCAACATCAAGTTCAAAGTTTGTTCGTAATTTCGTTTTTGCTAATTTCAATTGATTTCCTTTTTATCTCTTTGGGTTCACTAATATTTAAATAATGCTTATTGTCGATATTTTTATATATTGAAACACCTATTTGGATTTATTGTATCATTTATTATTTTTTAATGATCATAATAAGAATATTATATTTATATATCCACATGTACTAAAAGTCTTTTTTATTCTTAAAAAAATTTCCGTCCAATTTTTTTTGTTTTATACATGTTTTAATTGTATTAAGTGTCAGGGAATAAAATGTAAAGTTTAGATTTGTATATTTTTACATAAGAAAAATCATTGAGAAAAAAAAACTACAATGTTCTTATCGACTATTTGTGGTGTTGATAGTATTCAATACATGAGAAATAAATACTTTGTTAAAATATTATAAGAGCAAACTTCAACTGTGGAATATATTTTATATTAGTTAAATTATTTCGCTTTTTCTGAAATAAAGTTATACCAAATTAACCATGTTTGGAAAGGGGCATGCAGTGCATGAGTCA